GGCCCGGCCCCAGGACGGCCCAAGTGCCCCCCAAGATCGCCCAAGAGGCCCAAGACGGCCCCAAGAGGCCCCCAAGACGGCCCAAGAGGCCTCCAAGACGCTCAAGATGGCCTCCAAGACAGCCCAAAAGCCCTCCACGACGTCCTCCAAGAAGGCCCGAAAGGGTCAAAATGGCCTCCAGACGGCCAAGATAACCTTCAAGATGCCCACGTGTTCCCCGAAGGATTTCCAAACCGATTCGGGGAACACATGGTCCGATAGCTTGGCATGTCTGGCCTCAACGTTCGGCCATATAGCCGCTTCTAAAAAGGCAGGGGGCGGCGGTGACTCGCCCTAGGCGTCTTCGATAGAATCTGGAAGGTCTTGGGGGTCCCCGAGGCTCTCTCTGGCCCGTCCGCGGGGGCCCCAAGGGCCCTAAGGCCTATCTGGCACTTGGAACTCGCGCGCAGGGTCCCTGACCACCTCCGTGGTTTCGACAGGCCCCGACGACCACGAGCGCGCGTCGACGAACTGGCGACCACCATGGGTTCGACGACGGCGACGACGACGAACCGTGCACACTTCTTCAACCACCCCACGTGCTTTACCGTTTCTCGCAGCCCCCGTTTCCTCACATGTAGCTGCGTTTCGGCCCAAAACGCCCGTTTGCCCTCTACTTCGCTTCGCACACAGTGCACTACACCAAGAATTTAAAGCGAAGCGCAGCGAGCCTCAAGTACTGTGTATGTATGTATGTATGTATGTATGTATGTATGTATGTATGTATGTATGTATGTATGTATGTGTGTGTGTGTATGTATGTATGTATGTATGCATGTATGTATGTATGTATGTATGTAGGTATTTATGTATGTATGTATGTATGTATGTATGTATGTATGTATGTATGTATGTGTGTACGCACGTATGTATGCATGCATGTTTATATGTACGTTTGTGTGTATGTGTGTATGTCTGTATGCCTGTCTGCCTGCCTGTCTGTCTGTATGTATGTGTGTATGTATGTATGTATGCATGTGTGTATGTATGTATGTGTGTATGTATGTATGTATGCATGCATGCATTTATGCATGTATGTACGTACGTACGTATGGATGGATGGATTGATGGATGGCTGGATTGATGTATGTATGCATGTACATGTATGTATGTATGTATGTATGTATGCATGTATGTAATGTAATGTACTGTAATGTAATGTATTGTAATAAATTGTAATGTAATGTGATGCGATGTGATGTGATGTGATGTAATGTAATGTAATGTACTGTACTGTACTGTACTGTACTGTGATGTGATGTGATGTGATGTGATGTGATGTGATGTGATGTATGTATTGTATGTATTGTATGTATGTATGTCTGTATGTCTGTATGTCTGTATATCTGTCTGTCTGTCTGTCTGCCTGCCTGTCTGTCTGTATTTATGTATGTATGTATGTATGTATGTATGTATGTATGTATGTATGTATGTATGTATGTATGTATGTACGTACGTACGTATGTATGTATGTATGTATGTATGTATGTATGTATGTATGTATGTATATATGCACGTATATAGTAATAACGCATGCATGTATATATGTATGCACAACTGTTAGCTGCCCATAGTCCGCCTCCTCCCTCTTCTCCTCCCGCTCTTCCCAGACGCCCTCCAGCCCGCTCCCCGCCGCCGCTGGCTGAGGGGTCAACGGTTGCTCCCGCTGGGGCTTACCCGGGCCGCCTCGTGCCGTGGCGCCACCTCCTCTCCGCTTTCCTCTCTTCTCTTGGATTCGATTCGATTCCATTGTGCTGCGTTAGGGGCCTTGCGTGTAAGGGGCCCTGGCGGGGGTGCACACTACCTGTGCACGGCCTATCCGAGATATAGGGCCATGCTGCACTAGAGGGGCCGGCCTGACAGAAAACATGGGAAGCAGACTATGATTTGGTGGCCCATACTCCTTGCCTGACTGATTAGGGGGTCCCGCAGGTCACCGACCACAACTTCGACCAGGAGAGGAAGGTTCCGAGGAGGAGGAGGTGGTGGTGGGACCCCGACAGGTTGAATTTCGGGCTCAGGGGGCGTCTGGACATTCTCTTTAAAACGTCCTGAATGTTGTTGGATTCCACCTACACGAGCCACGAATTGGAGAACGTCACTGACGAGCTAAAACTGATTTCTGCAAGCTTTCCGTTGCCAAACACTGTGGTGTTGCATCTTGGCCACGACCTTGGCGTGCTGTTCTACCGTCGTATTACCTACCCAGAGCCTGACCCCATCTCGGCGCGTTGTGTTCGAATGGTGTGTTTTGAATGTTGTTAATGGTGACTGCGGAGCGCCCAAGTCCCTCGAGCTCTCCGATCACGTGCCAGCAGTTGTGCCAGAGCCATAACATAGCTAGGTCTGGCCGTTTACCCCATGCATAGCCCCTCGCGAAGCCCTCGGCGATTGCCTGACAGTCTGACTAGATCACGAGCGGAATTACAGCTACGGTGTTCTAGAGGGAGGGGCTCAATCATGGCGTGCTTGAAAGTCCTCTTTTCGTCGGGCGTAGCAAAAGCCCATCTCGCTCTGTTGATGGCCTCGTAGGCTTCATAATGCAGGGAGTTGTCCACAAAACCCTCTCCTGTGACCCACCCGTCCCACAGACCATCGCTCGCGCGTCGTGGGAGGAAGGGAGGTGAGGAAGGGTGAAGCTGGGCCGTAGCAGCGGTGTTGTAGTCCTGACTGCAATCATAGCTTTTGTTGCCTTTGGCCAGTGGCGTTCTCGCTGGTGCGTTGTCCGTAGTTTTTTTTCACCGGGGAGTCTCCGTCCAACGGAAAGGCGCTGTCGCTGTAGTTTGTTGCAGTGGTAGTGTGACGGTCGTGCACGGGCATCCGTGAAGGGTGACGATCTCGCCGAAGTGAGTCGCATGCTGGTACTTGCGTCGATCTCCGATGGAGTGGTGCCCTCGCCGTAGCGCTGACGGTAGCCCTGTCTCAGGACAGGAGGGGTTACCCTTGCCGCGTGCGGCACATGGATTGCCATGGAGACTCCGTCCAGAGGAGCGGCGCTCCAGCTGTGGCGCTGGGCTCCGGAGGTGGTTCCTGCGTGTCGTGCTCTGTTGCGCGTCAAGGCGGGTGCCAGGCAAGACTGGAGGGATCGATGGTTCCCCCGACATCCGATTGCACGAATAGAGAAACGCATTGAGAGGGACGGGCGGGGGGGAGCGCCAGGACGTCAGATGTATACATATGTAACACCAGCGCGAACGCACCTCTCCCCCTCCCCTCTCCCCTCCCCTCTCCCCTCCCACTCGTTCCTTCTCTCCTCCCCTTTCCCACTCTCACTTCGTCTCCCTCCCCTTTGTCCCTCTCCTCTCCCTCCGTCCCCATCTCTCTCTCGTCCGTTCCTTTCCTCCTCCCTTCCATACCTCTTCGTCAGATCTACATGCCCCCACTCTATTCGCACCCGCCTTTGAAACAACCGAAATCGGGGTGGTCCACTTCATCTATCGCTAAAAGAAGTGCATTGACGGTTGCGTTGTCGAGACTGCAATGGGCGTGGTGGACCCAATGTGGCGCACATCACGCGCGAGATGGCGAATTGCCATTCGGATGGGGACCCCACGTCTATGCCCCAGTGGCCCGCTCTTCTAGATGCGCACGAACGCAGCAACAAAGAAAATCACGTGCGGCACAACATGCGTTCATCTCCTGTGGCCTCACGCGGGCGAGAGGCCGCGGTCAATGCGCGCGGGCGATCAGCGTGCGCAACATGTGCGCGAGATAATTCTGCGTGCGTTCAGCAAGACAGTTCGCAATCCACAGATGTCGCGTCTTGTGGGCATCCCTGCCTCCAATGTTCCCCTGGCGCCTCGCACATTCAGAAACGATTGTCATGTCCAGGTGCCTGCGGCAAATCCGGTACCGTGGCGTGGCAGCGAAGCACTTGATATGGCGATCCTCTGAACATCGGCGAGAGAGCCGTCACATGTGACACCTCTCGTCTCTTCTTCTCGAGGAGCTCTCATGGGTTTCGTTTGGGCCGTGTTCGGTGGTGGGTGGATTGGGGTCCTTCGGAGCCCTCTTCGGTCGTCGTAGGGCCCCCTCGTGCCGTCTCGGGGCCTTCTTGGGCTCCTGGGCCGTCGTGGGGCCATGTTTGGCCGTCTGGGGGGCCTCGTGGGGCCGCCTTGGCGCTTTTTGAGGCGTCTCGTGTGGTCTTCTTGGGTAGTTTTGGGTTCCTTCGGAGGCCCTCTTGCGCCAACCTGGGGCTATCTCAAGGCTGTCTTGGGCCTCCCGAGATACCACGCGACGAGCGACATGAAGCGCCCGCCAGCGCCTGAGAGTTCGCGGAGCTCTGGTACCGGGACCTTCTCCGCCCTCCGCTCTCCTTCGCCCTGCCGGCTGTTCCTCTTCTTCCTCCGATCATCCTCCTCGTATTTCCTCCGTCTTTTGTTTTGCATCATGCCTGTGCCATTATACCTGCCTGCTGTACTACTCTTGCTTCGCCTGATCCTGCTCTTTCTGTTGCTCCTCCTCGTCGATGTCGTTTCCGCCCTTATGCCTCCACTTCTCTGCTGCTGTTGTTATTGCTGATGTTGATGTTGGTGTTGGTGATGGTGTTGGTGTTGGTGTTGTTGTCGTTGTCGTTGTCGTTGTCGTTGTCGTTGTCGTTGTTGTTGATGATGATGTTGTTGTTGCTGTTGTTGCTGCTGCTGTTGCTGCTGTTGTCGTCGTCGTCGTTGTTGTTGTTGTTGTTGTTGTTGTTGTTGTTGTTGTTGTTGTGGTTGCTGCTTCTCCTCTCTGCTGCTGCTGTTAGAGTCGGGGCCCTGAAGAAGGAACCCTTTTCGTTGGGGAGGGGCTCCGCGTTCCTTAAGTGTTTCACAGCTTGCCTCAGGTTTTCCTTATGTTTTCGATCGGAAATCGAAGGGAAAAAAGGGGCCCCGTTCCTTATTTAGGGTTCCTTAGGTCAACGCCCCGACTGTACTTCCCTTCGCTGAGATCGTCTCCGTCCTCCTCCTGCTGCTGCTGCTGCTCCCCTCGCGCCCCCGTCTTTCCCGCTCCTCCTCGCCCCTCGGAGCCATGCGGCGCCGCGCCCTGGCGCTGCTGCTGGTGGAGGGGGGGCCCTCCCACGGCCCCTGATGCTGCTCCTGCTCCTCCTTCTCCTCCTCCTCTTCCTCCTCCTCCTCCTCCTCCTCCCAATTATCCTCTTCCTCCTCCTCCTCCTCCTCCTCCTCCTCCCACCTCTTCTCATCCGATCTCCCCCTCCTCCTCCTCCTCCTCCTCCTTTGCCCCGGTGTGCGCGTGGAGGGCCCTCGCTGGGCCCCTGGACCGTCCGAGGACGAAGCGCCGGCCCCCGGGGAAACAGAGGTCGGGGCCCGCGGGGAGGCGGGCCCGCGGTCCTCGTCCATACTTTTTCTTTGGTTCCTCCTCCTCCTCCTCCTCCTCCTCCCAATTATCCAGCTGCCTGCGGCGAACCTCGCCGGCTTGCCTGTGCAGCAGCGCTGCGGGACGGAGACTTGGTGCAGGCATAGCGCCATTCCGACGAGCGGTCTGAGAAAGGACGGGTCGTGAACTCGACCTCGTCTTCGTCCGCGCGGCAGGAAGGAGGTCGAGTTCATACCCCGCGGCAGTTCAGCGAGTGGTCTGACAATGGGGACGGACATGATCCCGAAATCGTCTTCGCCCAGATCGGTCAGGCCCGAGGCGCCGCAGGCCGTGATGGTGGGTGGAGTCACGTTTAGGGGGGGGTGCACAGCTCGACCCGGCCTGGCGTCCCAAATGCGGACCCGATTGTCGTCCTTGCCAAGGCAGTCGGCAGGATGTCCGCGGAGTGGTGGATGCCGACCCCAGTTAGTGCTGCCGAAGTGACCCATCGAGATGTTCTGAGTGTGGCCACGCTCTCGAGATCGCATGTGGCTGCCCAGGCGCAGGTTTCAAACTCCATAGACATGGTTCGTTATTTCAGACCCATGGGCCATGACGTTTGGCCATGCTAAGGCCCAGGCAGACAACTCGCAGAAAACAGTCATCAGCAACGAATCATAATAATCATAACGCATCTTAAGACACTGCATGAAAACAATGGAAACAATGTCGAAGTCAGAGCGCGGCGTTGCACAATAAACAAAAACAAACTCCAATAACAAATAAAGATAAATAAGTAGTCGCGCGTATACAGTTTCGAGCCAAAGAAGTAGGTGTTTGACATCGTCGGGGGCATCAGTGAGTGCATCAGATATTGAGCTGGTCAGAGACTGTGCGCTGCCCAGAGACTGAGTCAGTCAGCATCGGTGATAGCATCTATGGTTACTCTGGTGAGCTACATCTTTGGTTGCTCGATTGAGTGTATCGGCGGTTGCGTCGCCCCGATGTGCTTTGCAACGTGTGAACTCTGTTGGTGATTGCATCGTTGATGGGGGATTATCGAGTCGGTGATGGCATCGCCCACGTGGCGACGAGACCGGCTGCTGCCGCGAGTCCCTTCTTCGGCATCGTCGCTCTCCTGCGTCTCGCCCCCTTTCGTCCGTCTTCACTACGGCTCGAGATTTGCGTCTTGTGGCCCTCGCGGCGAGATCGCGGCTGCGTGGCGGCGAGGCGGCCCCGCGCGCGGTCGGCGGCGCGCCCGGCGCGGCGAGGCGGCCCACGTCTGGGCGGGGCCGAGGCCCGGGCAGAGCCGTGCAGAGGCGGCCCGCGGCTCGGATCGTCGTCGAGCCCGACGCGGCGAACGCGGTGCTTGCCGACAGGCATTCTGTCGGGCGTGCCCCCCTTACAGGGGGATTGTCGACGAAAAATAAAAAAAACACCCCAAACAGACCCCAAAAAGGCCAAACAATATTCAGAAAATACTCACCAGACTATTCTTGGAGTATGTTTTATTTGTCGTGGAAAATCCCCTTGTAGGGGGACAGGCCCGACTTAAGACAGGCAGGCTGTGCTGGACATGTCTGGTGCAAGGTATTTGCGCGTTGGATGGCCGTTGTTGGGGCTCTTCCGCAACATGTTAGGCGCGTCGGTCCACGCGGACATCGCGGCTCCGATCTACCCTCCGATCTACAGGGTTGCCGAGTTGTGCCTTCTTCAGCTTCCGAAAAGGCGCAGGGCGCTGGGAAAGAACACCTTGGTCGAGCAGGCCCGAGTGGGCAAGGACAAGTATGGACAATACTGACAGTGCCTCGCCAGCGCCATCATGCACATGGATCGGCTTCATCGGCAGGTGGTGGAGTCACCGGTTGCAGGTTCGTTGCTGTCAGCACAGTTCATTGAATACCAAGACTTGTGCCGCCACGACGAGACTCCCATCGCACTGACCAGGTCTGATTTTACGGCTTCAGTTTAACGACCCCGCGAGCAACCGATCGTGCAGGTCGCCATTGTTGGCCAGCAAGTTGCACACGCTGCGCAGGCATGGATCTTCACAAAGCATGTTGGACGATTCCAAAGCAAAGTATTGCAGAGCAGCTCCTTATATGGGATGCTTGTTGATCGCGGTGATTGCATCATGTCAGTGGTTGGGAGTACTGCAGCCATGCCGCGGCTTGTTTGCATAACCTCTTTCGAATGCTGGTTGCACGCAGAGAGATTGCGCAGTGCTGCGAGCGACGCAGCTTCATCTTTCAGGTCCCAGACCCGCGTGGCACGCCATGGTAGAGCTGGTCAGAGTGACAGGTCAGAGCGTGGATTGCTGCAACTGGTTTCTAAGCGAGGCCGGCTTAACAGGTGCGATTTCCACATCATTGCCGTTGGCATGCAGAACGCGCCCACTTTCTTCGACCCTTTGCTAACGGCGCACATGGATTTTGAATCGTTGGTGAACGAGGGCATGGACATGATACGATTGGGCAGGATCATTGTTGATAAGGTGAAGTCTATGTTGGAAGTTTCTTTTGGTCGGCCTCGAGATGGCGTTCAACAGTTCAAGTGCCCAGTTGCAGCTTTTTGTTTCGCGGGGGCTTCGCGGAGCAGCATCGAGCTGTTACGCGCCCAGACTTTTCCCAGCGGTGATTGGCGACATCACAGCTGCGCTCAAATTCCCCCCCCCCCCCCCCCACACGGCAGCGCCTGAAGCAGGGGCGATTTGGGCGAGATGATCGGGGGCAGTATTGTTGAGATCTTCTTGAGCGCGTCGCCCCCAATTTACAGCCGACATCGCCCAAAGAAGTGCAGAGAGAGTATCGGCGCGTTCGCGATGTTGGAGTCGACGCACGGGCTGCTGACGCATTGCTTCCCCGAGTTCGCGAGGTTACTGAGGGTCCGCGGTCGCAGGCCCGGCGGCGACGCTGGCGCGCCGCGCCGACGGGGAGGCGCGGGTGGACCCGCGCTCGCCGCGGCGGCCGGGCGGCGTTGCTGGCGGGGGCCCTCCCGATCCAGGGCCAGGAGGTTCTATGTGTGTCCCTCCTGTTCTCGACGGTGCTCTTATCATTCCTTGCGCCGCGCCTCCGGCGCGCGATCGTCGGGGCCCCGGTCAGGGCGCCGGGGGGGCCCCTACCCCGGGGGCGGTGGAGAAGGCGGGCCCACTTCTGGGTTGGGGGGCCGAAGCGCCCACGCGCGAATTTCGTCATAATTTTCACCGCTGTCATCGAGCGCCAACAGCTATTTGGTTGAATCGCCCCTTGCCGACGCATTGCGCAGCGCGAATCACGCCGGGACAGGGCTGGCGAGGGGGGCGAGGGGGGGGGCATGAAAGAGCAGGGCGCGGCAGAGCAGCATAACGATGCGCAACTATATCTCAACCGACACAGCGCTGATCATGCATCAACGGATGCGCGTTCATGCGCAGGCGCGCGGCCCCCCAGTGCCAACGTCAACACGTAAATCACAGAGTTGCAAAACGAAAAGAAGAGAGAGGAGAATTGCCCGAAATTTATTTCTGTTGCACAAATGTGTCAACCATGTATTCTTTTAGTCTGTGCCAACGCACGTGCTCTCTCATGCAGGGGCACGGATCCCCGGCGCCAGCCTGGATTCTCTAATCCCGCGCCAACGCGCATGCCTTCATGTTGGTCAAAGCGCTCTTGGCCAGGAGCGCCCCGCTCGAATCTGCCGCAGCCAAAACTGCGGTGAGCAAGGATGCAACGCAGTTCTTGACCCTTTTCCTATGGTGCAGGTGCTTCGCCAACTGTTCCTTCCTGCTCGCGGAAATTCGCGCAGTTGTAGAAGCGCGCTGCTTGGCTGCAGCTGGCTTGCCCTCTCTTCTGGCAGGGGCGCGGCTAGGATTCTTCTTCCCCGCCATCGCAACCTCGCGTTTGTTCAAGTGGCCAGGGTCTCCGCAGCCCGTGAAAGTTGCGCCGCTTGGCAAAATGAAAAGCGGGGAATCGATGGCGCTCCGCGCGCAGCAACCTCATCGGAGCAGCGCGCGTATCCGCGGAACCAGCTGACAATGGGCTCCGCGAGGGAGCTGTGGACGTTGCGGAGACGGTGCTTCAGGCGGTCGGCGCAGTGCGGGTTGCACTTGCGCGCGCAGCCATGGTGTTGCGCATAGAATTTGTCAACGATGTAATACTTCAGTTGCTTATGCTTCACTGCCTCAGAGGCTGGCGGCACGCCGGCGCACGCGCGGTCCATGACGCGGCGGTTGACCTTGCCGCGCATGGGCAAGATCTCGTCCAGGCACGCGCGGAGGACGTCGTTGTTCTCGGGGCGACGTTGCTCATGTACTTCGACGATCCTCTGCGCGGTCGGGTCAGCGACCATGAACCACGCGCAAGTGCGGCGGTCGCCGTCGGCCGCATCCTATGCGGGCGGTGCCCCCCTGGAGCGAGAGCAGGGGACGCGAATCTTCTGATGGCCATCTGCGACTTGTCGGCGGGAGCGAAGGCGTTGGCGTGAAGATGCCCGTGGCAAGCCTTGAGGATGTTGGGCGCGAGCCCGCTCTCAATCACAATGCCCAGATGCTTCCCCACGGCTAGCAGCCCTTTGACCGCCGCAATATAAAACATTGCGTCATTGTGCTGTTTCCGGAAATCGGCGGCCGCGCAGTCGGCGCCGAAAGTCTCCTTGTAGGACCGCGCCACGCTCCGAGACGACGCGAAGCCGCGGAAGAAAAGGTTTTCGCGGCACTGCAAATACCTCGTCGTCCAAGCTCGGCCCGCGGACGTAAACAAGCCGTCATTTATCTACTCGGCGGGAAAAGTGTTGATGTGCTTGCCGTTGAGAACGTAATAAGTGTACCCATGACGCACTATGCAACGTTTGTTGCAACACCGTTTGAGGTTTCGCCGCCAAAGTTGCAACATCGAATTATTCAGCCTGGGCTAAGAAGGTTACCATCTGGAGAGATTCGCAATGGCAGGTCGCTGTGTCCGAGTTAGGGGTCGTCGAGGCTTACCCGCCCGTTATCACGGTCGTGGGTGAGGTTTGAAGATCTTCTGCGGAGGTTTTGCGTAGCACAGGGCCTGCTAAGTTGGTAGGCGACAGCGCAAGCGGCGCAATAATGGCAAAACAGAACTGCAGACTTTGTACGCCGGGCTGTTGAATTTCACTGGTGATCATCGATGTTCTCTTCTGAGGCGTCCCGCCCGCCCCGGGTCTCAGACGGGACTTCCTCCTCATCCTCCCCCTCATCATCATCATCATCATCATCATCATCATCATCATCATCATCATCCTCGTCTTCCTTCGCGTCCATGGTGCAAATCAGTGGGGCCGCTGAACATTGAACGATTCTATTGGCTTGCGTGCACAGTGAAGACAACTGCGCCTCAGGCGGCCTCATTGTGGATTGCGCCACCCTGTTAAACGCGGTACCCTCCTTTGTTTGGGCGCTGTCGGGGGCCGGCGTTCAGGCCCACATCTGGAGAGAGGTGGTCTGATTTAACCCTGAAGGCCCCACGGTTTTTGTCGAAAAAAAGAACACCATAGTGAAGACGACCTACCCATTGAAGAGCCCAATTTTCTCTGCAAGGCTAACGTGTCTAGCCGGCTTGCACGCTGGATTATGTGCGCAGGCCCATGGTTACCGACGAAACCAATTCTAGGATCCATCTCACCACCAGTATGTACATTTCTCTTATTCACGGAGTAGGGAAAGTGCTCGGGGAGTGGTCTACGCTTGGTGAGCTCGGGGACATGGGTCGGTTGGGCGTCGGTCCCAAAAGGCGCCTCCCCAAGTACTGTAGCCTGCACGCCCCTGTCTGGCACGAAGGCGAGCGGAGTTGCAATGTGTGTGTGTTCGCCACCCGGGGCCCAAATCGGTGATCAGTCCCAAGTGCACTGGCCCGAATCCGTCGGTTGGCTGTTTTTTGCGGGGCCTTCGGATTCACCACAGCTTCACGTCGCTTGCGTCGAGAGCTCGGGGCTCCCTGTCGTGCATGGCGTGGCGTGTGTGGCGCTCACCACTTGCAGTGCGGGCCCCACGTTCCAAGTTTCCTGCGACGGTGGGATTTCTTCGTCTGATAGCAGCCTGCTCAGGGGAAGGCTCCTGCCAGGGTCGGAGCTCTCCCGCCCCAGGGCCGTGAGCTCAGGGCGGTGAGGACAATTGCGTGCCTATTTCCCCACGCTGTGCAGTTTTTGTACGGTGCAGTGTCTGCCGGGTAACCCAGTCACCCAAGAGGAGGAAGAGGAGGAGGAGGTGGAGGAGGAGGAGGAGAAGGACGAAGACGAGGAGGAGAAGGAGGAGGAGGATGAGGAGGAGGAGGAGGAGAAGGACGAAGACGAGGAGGAGGAGGAGGAGGAGGAGGAGGGGGAGGAGTAGAGGGAGACAAAGAGGACGAAGAGGAAAAACTTGTTGGGACCCTCTTGGAGCCTTCTGGGAGCCTCCGCGGGGGCCTCCTGAGGGCGTGTTGGGGGCCTCTTCGGGCCTTCTGGTGACCTCTTGGGGCCTTTTGGGCTGTTTTAGGCGATTGGCCTGTCGGACGCGTTCGGGGGCCGCTTCGGGGGAGGGGACTGGGGTGTCTTGGTGCCCGCTTGGGGTGCTTTAGGGCCATCTTGGTGCCCTCTTGGGAACCTGTTGTGCGATCTTGGGGCCCTTTGGGCTGACTCGAGGCTTTCTTGGGGGCCTCATGGGCTGTCGTGGTGCTATCTTGGAAGCCACTTGGGCCACTTTGGGCGGTCGGAAACCCAGACAGGCGAGAACGTCAACATCCGTCAAATTTTCAAGGATTCTCATTGTGGTTTGCCTGTTCGGGCTCTCCATGAGTGCCTCTCGGAGCCTTCTTGGGCCGTCTTAGGGGCCTCGTCAGCCGTCCTGTTGCCGTTCTGGGAGCCTCTTGAGCCGCCGTGGGCCATCTTGGTGTCATCTCAGCTGTCTTGGAAGTCGTCTGGAATGCCATTTTGGCCGTCTCCAGGTCAGAAAGGACGCCGGCGAGGGCAATCTCAGGGGGGGTGGTTTGCGGAACCCGCGCGTCCTCCTTAGAAAACGCTACAACAAGTCTTCGAGATTACAGACGAGCATTCCTGCACGCCCACTGCATGCAGTCACGGTGGCATGTTCATCCCACTCGAAGTGAAGCGTGCATGGTTGCGTCAGGCACAGAGGTCAAGGCGACTTCGAGCGCGATGTCGCGCACATACTTGGGAGGGGGGCCTCGGCCGCTCCCGCTCCCGCGCCGTGGCTGTCTCCTCCCCGGATTTGCGGAGGCTCGTCCGTGGGGAGGAGTTATGACAAACGGTCATGCGGAGCTGCCTCTACTCTCCCCTTTTTCGCTCCTTGGTCTGGGGGTGATGGTACAGAACGGGGGGCCAGCAATTGGAGAGATGGGGGCGCAGAGATGATTGTCGGACCCCCCCGGGGTTCAATGCCCCCGTGCAGGACCAGCCGTGAACGGGTTCTTGGATCACTGGGGGGGCCTAAGACCTTACTCCCCCACTGTTGTCCCGCCTGTGGCCTCGCCAATCTCAAATAGTCCCGCACTAGGTGGGCCACCTTGGACGCTCTGAGGACTGAAGCGGCGAGAATGCGAACCTTAGTTTTCAAAGAGTTATGGTTCTCTGAGCCAGACCCCCAGGTCTTAGGCAGTCTTGATTCCGAACCATGCTCCCGAGGCCTACCGAAAAGTCATACGTGACGCCCTAAGATTCGGGGAATCCGTGGCTTTGGACCTTGTAGCACGATGGCGTTCAAGATGGAGGGCCCTGCGGGATCCGAGGGCACTCAATACGATGCCTCGCTGTACTGAGGCGGCAGCATGTCACCGACCGTCATATATCACCTGCGCAGTATGCAATGGCCGCGCGTGGCATCTACGTTCATGCCACATCATGCCATTGATGACAGGTGTAGCATAGCATTCGAACAGCACATCACACTATCTGCATACCATAGCAACCGCACAGCGCAACATATGAATACGCTGCACGGAATACCCGCTAGTTAGCAGCAAGTCATTATATTTGCATTGCGTGACATGGCATGACATAGCATAGCGTACGGTCGTTCACGAAATTTGCGGGGTCACGAGGAAGCCGCTGATGGATAACGTTGCCCTTCATACAGCGGAGCGACAATATTTCAGGCAAGGCTAAACGGGAAGCATCGCTAGGTATTTGAAGGCTGTTGGCATCTCGGGGGCATGCGTGAGATGCTCCTTTAACAGGCCATCCGGAGTTTTCATCCAGGACCATCTTGGACGCCCGCGCCCCCTATTCCAGACTCCTGGGGAGGGCGTACTGGGACGGGTAAGTTCCTCTCCGCCGGTGAATGCCCAGAGGGCCGGTTGGAAGAGGGTTTCATTACAGTCCGTCTACCTTGCCCTGACAGCATGTATGCCTCGGTGGGTTGGGCGTCCGCAAGGTAGCTTACTGTCGTGCAGCTGAGCTGGCTGTCCTTGCCGATGTCGCGGACTCCTTCCTGGAGCAGAGTGGACAGCGCGAGGATCACTCCAGCCTTGCGCTGTCTGGCGTAATTGGTTCTCCGCCAGTCGCATCGACCAAGCATGGACGTCATGTGAGTCGCGATTCTCTCACCGTTGCTTCTTCTACTTGTAATATTCGAGATATTGGATCTGTTGGACGAACATTGCAGTTTCCCCCGCTTCTGTTTCGCAGCGGGGCCACAGTCGTGGGATCCAGCAGCCTGCGGAACGTCCCGCGTGCCAGCTCAGCATTTGGAAGGCGATTGTTCGAGGGGGCACGGGAGGCCGTGACACATCGTGTCCTCAGTCTTGGAAGAGCCGTGATGAGAATGATGAGCATGATGAGGGGTATGGCGACGAGGGGGAGGAGGAGAAGAAAGATGAGGAGGAAAGGTTTGGGCTTGAAACGGGTTGTCCGAGCCCGCAGGAATCTGAACCTGAGTCTCCACGCCAACCCATTTCCGTTTGTTATAGTTTCTTTCCCGACCACCTACGTGATCGTTGCGCGGGGCCTGTTTGGTCAACACGCTTCCCTCTCAGACTCTTCTTACCGACCCAGCCTAGCATCGTCGGGCACGCCGGATACGATCCACAACGAGAACGGTTGTTCAATTGGGTGTTGCAGCCGTTTTCTTCCAACAGCATCACAGTTCCCAATTACTTCAATATGGCGTGAAGGCAGGATCAAGATGAGTCGAAGGGTCACACAGGGGGCAATAAGGGCGGCAAAGGGGATCGAGAAACAGCCAAAGACACCACCAACGACCAGCCAGCCCCAGAGCTGAACATGCAGAGGTGGCCAAGCGCAAACATCATGTTCGCTTTGGGTTTTGCCGCATGTGTGGAGGTCACTGGCAGGCTAAGGTTCCTCCTCCCCCAACTGCCACGACATGCTCAGACGATGGGACGGGCACAGAGTCAGCCTTGCCTTGGACGAAATCGGGGAACCGCTGCCAGAATATTGCCACACGCCAGCATGACCTTGACGCTCTCAGCAAGTCTCCAGGTTCCGAGGGCAGCCGCGCAACCAAACAGGAGGTCGAGGAAGCGCTGGCGCGCCTCAGGATGGAACGGGACCAGGGACAATGCCAAGTCACCTCAGCAGGCACTCATGGCTTCGAACCAAAAGCTGATAGGCCCAGACCCGCATGAGGAAGCAGGAGCAGACCATCTGCGACCACCGCGACCAGACCCGTGGTTTGGAGCTGACGATCAAGGCGCGGAGACAGATGATTGGACAGGAGGAGGAGTTCACTGCTGAATGCAAGTCCCGCATCGCGGAACAGATCGCCATTGCGAGGCAGGTGGCGCCGTCATCGACGAGTGGGCCACACCTTGAAGCACCTGAACAGCCAGCGGCGGGCCCGACACAGACGAGATTCACCAACTCCCTCATGACCGAGGTGATGGCGTTCCAGCAGCGCTTCACCGCTTCCATGTTGAAGACGTTCAAGATATTAGTTTCGGACACGGTGAAATGGCGTTGTTATGTTTGAGGCCCATTATGGTGTAATTGATGGTGATTGAGATTGTGATGACGATGGTGATGGTGAAGGTGGTGGTGGTGATAATGTTGCCGGTGATGGTGGTGATGTTGATGTTGATGGTGATGATGGTGATGTTGCAGTTGTTGTTGCAGCTGTTGATGCGTGTGTTGATGATGATTAGCTGCTGGTGATGACGTTGATGAGGCTTGTGATGTTGAAGGTGTTGCTGCGGCTGATGATGATACTGCTGAGGATGACGATGTTAATGCTGATGATGTTGCGGTTGCTGATGCCAGTGATGGTGGTGTGATGTTTATGATGCGGTTGACGGTGATTACCATCATGTTGATGATGCTGATGTTGATGATGACGATGCGGATGAGGAGGAGGATAATGGAGTTGGTGTTGATGACTATGATGATGACGATTACGATGATGCGCATGTCGATGATGATTATGCTGATGATGATGTTGATGACACTGTTCTCGTTGCAGATGGCGATGATGCTGATCATCATGATGATGACCATCATGATGATGACCATGGATGATGAGGGTGGTGATGATGGTGTTGATAATGATGGTGATGATGATAATGATGATGATGACGATGATGATGATGCTGACGATGCTGATGATGATGATGATGATGACGATGATGATGATGATGATGATGATGATGATGATGATGATGATGATGATGATGATGATGGTGATGATGGTGACGACTGTGATGATAAGGATGTTGCTGCTGATGATATCGATGCTGATGCCGAGAAGAAGGAGGAGGTGGAGGCGGTGGAGGAGTCGGGACGGGAAGGGGGAGGAGTAGTCGGCAGACTTTGACGATGAGGTAAACTTGAGGCGGAGTGGGGGGATCTGGAGGAGGAAGAACAGGAAGGGAAGAGGTGGAGGATGAGGCGGAGGAGGAGTAGGAGGAGGAGCCAACAACATGTTGACAATAACCCAATGATTCTCCAGATGCTGGCGACGTCTGGCGACGCGGCCCTGGATGGAAGCCGCAGCTCGAATGACAGGACGCGCCATTTGCCTGTCGCGAGGAAGGCCTTCATTTTTCTCCCCCAGTTGCTACTTGCTGCCGAGATCACCCACGCCCTCCTTTCCTCCTTTCCTCCCTCCCCCCGTCCCCCGCGTTCACTGACTGGTGGAAGCGGCCATCAGTAGGCATTGGAGATCATGAAATGCGCGGCCCCACCTGCCTTGCTGCTCCTAGCCCTCCTCCTTTCCTGTCCCCCGAGGGAGGTTCCCCACGCAGGTGGAACCACCACCCCCGCGCAAGACACGGCCTGAAGCATGTGCGCGGGAATAGTTTGTTTGGCACTTTTGGCTGGTGTGATCCGCTGCTCGCCCCGCAGATTTCATGGCAACGCCCTGTCTCACACCCGGCCAATGGTCTGGGTGGTGTGGGGTGGGGGGCGGCATTCGCATGTATTTGCACGGTTCGGGGGGGAGGAGGAGGAGAAGGAAGAGGAGGAGGACGGAGAGCAGGAGGGGGAAGAGGTGGAAGAGCAAGTATGAGTAGGAATCCACGGATCAAAAGTTGAAGCGCGAGGAGGAGGAGGAGGAGGAACAGCAGCGCGAGAATGAGGAGGGCTTTCCTCGTCCACGCGATCTCCTCGACACATCGGCGTCATCCTTGTTGATTGTAGTGGCCTCCGGCCAGTGCCGCCGATCCGGGGTGCTACCGGTTCTGCTTGCAACGGAGGACGGTTTTTGTTTAGATAAGTGCACTCGCTCGAGATATCCTCATAAGATAGAGATGTTGAACTCGCTTGGGCAACCGTCGGATATTCGAAAGTGACGATCTCGGGTGAACAGCCAAACTCATGGGATGTCCCCTCCCGCCTTCCTGGCCTGAATGGCGTCAGCCATGGCGTCAGCCCCCCCCACCCCCCGACTTCTCCCACCCGGGCCTGAATGGCGTCAGCCATGGCGTCAGGGCTCCTTCCCTCCCCCCCTCCAGTTCCCCCTCCTGGGCCTGAATGGCGTCAGCCATGACGTCAGCTCCCCCCCCCTCCCCCCGACTTCCTCCTCCCGGGCCTGAATGGCGCCAGCCATGGCGTTCCCCCCCCCCCATGGCGATCCCCTCTCCCTTCCCCCCTCCTCCCTCCCAGGCCTGAATGGCGTCAGCCCCCCCCACCCCCCCTCCTCCCTCCCGGGCCTGAATGGCGTCAGCCCCCCCCCCTCCTCCCTCCCAGGCCTGAATGGCGTCAGCCCTCCCCCCTCCGACAGAGCGAAGCTCCCTCCCCTCCTCCCTCCCGGGCCTGAATGGCGTCAGACCCCTCCCCCCTCCTCCCTCCCGGGCCTGAATGGCGTCAGCCCCCCCCCCCCACACACAGAACGACCCCCCCCTCAGGGGCTTGTGCTTTCAGTGAATTCCGTCGGAATTCGTCTCCCCCCCCCCCTTCTCCAGAGCTTGTGCGTTCAGTGAATTCCGTTGGAAGTCGTCCCCCCCCCTCTCCAGAGCGAAGCGTCCTCCCCCCTCTCCAGATCTTGTGCGTTGACTGAATTTCGTTGGAATTCGTCCCCCCCCTCTCCAGAGGGAAGCTTGAGCGAGCTTGGAATTCGCCCCCCCCTCCCCCCCCTCTCCAGAGCTTGTGCGTTCAGAGAATTCCGTTGGAATTCGTCCCCTCCCCCCCCTCTCCAGAGCGAAACGTCCCCCCCCCTTCTCCAGAGCGAAGCTTGAGCGAGCTCAAGCCCACGCTCACAAACTGACACGCCGGATCGGTGGATTTACTCAGGGACCTTCCAGCTGACCCCGCCTCCACTTCTTCTTCTGTCTTACATCCTTTCTACCTCCTCCGCATCCTCCCTTCTGCACTTCCTGATCCCTCCTTCTCCTCCTCGTCCTCCTTTCTCTTCCACCCTCTGCTGCTCCTCCTGCTCCCTCTTCCGGACCTGCTCCTCTTCCTTCATCCCGATTTCCGTCTCAATTCCCCTCCTTTATGTTCGTCCTCCTCTTTTCCCATTTCTTCTGATCCCCTTCCGCCCTCCGCCTCATCCTCAACGTCCTCCTCGGCGTCGTCCCCTCCTCCTCCTCCTCCTCCTCCTCCTCCTCCTCCTCCTCCTCCTCTTCGTCATCATCGTCATCATCGTCATCATCGTCATCATCATCATCATCATCATCATCATCATCATCATCATCATCATCATCATCATTATCATCATCATCATGATCCCCCTCCTCACTCTCCTTCTTTCTTTCCCCTCCTCTCCGCCAGACCACTGCTCCGTGATAGGTCGGGGAACGACGACTTGAATCAGGAGGAGGAGGAGGAGGAGGAGGAGGAGGAGGAGGAGGAGGAGGAGGAGGAGGAGGAGGAGGAGGAGGAGGAGAGGGGGGGGCAAGCCAGGTGCGCTTGCGCCACACCTGGCATCCTGCCCTTCCCTCCCATCCCGTCCCACTGCGCTGATATGTTTCTGTATCCGCGGACGCGTGTCATAGCCGATCTGGAGCTCCAAAATCGACCCCATCGTGTTATGCGCAATCGGAAAAGGGGAGCTGCCTACATGCCAGGAAGATGAGCCCTCCATCCAAGCTCCCTCTTCACAGGCTCCTAGAAGGCTTCATTTCCACCGAGGGAGATGCACCGTTGGAAGACAACCTTTTGAAGATTCTGAAGCGTGCCCAGACCCGCATGGCTTCAACGCCACGAGTCGACCATATTGTTGCGGCTTGACGATTCTGAAGCGTGCCAGAAAAGAATTCCTGAGACCTCAACACCGCGAGTCAACGTAACTGCTGCGCTCTGACATGTCTGATCCGTTTCAAAACACCGTTTCTGGTACATCAACCATAAGAATCAGTGAAACCCTTCTCATTGTCGAACGAATGTGCGCGGCGCAACGGCGAGATTCACATTTGAAAGAGGACCCGCCCTCAATATGTGAGATTATGGTTGCATGTTTAATAAGAATGTACGCGGCGTTGAGGCGAGAGCCACAATTTGAAAACGAGCCGTCTTAAAGCCTGAACTCTTGCACAGTTTTAGGACGAATGTGCGCGGTGTTAAGGCGAGAGCCACATGTCGAACACCATCTGCCTTCAATCAGCGAAGTTATTGCAAAAGGTCTCAACTAGTGTGCGCTGCGCTATAGCGAAAGCCTTTGTTTCATTATTTTGAGTTAGAAAACTTGCCCCCAATCCGTGAAACCTCCTGCAAATGTTTGAAACGAATGTGCGCAGCGCTAGAGAGAGCCACATTTGGAAGCGACCCACCCCCCATCCGTGAAATTGTTGCCAGTGTTATAAGCTTGAGGCTCATCAACGGTAAGAAGTCGCAGGCGAAACACCCGGCCCGCCCTTCTGACTGGCCTCGGGGTGCGCCAGGGAAGAGTTATTCACAAGGAAAAGGAATGGAGGTAGCGGGTGAGCAGGAGGATGCGCAGGAGGAAAAGGAGGAGGAATTCGGAAGGAGGAGGACGACGAAGAGCAGCAGCAGGAATCGGAGCGGAAGGGACTGAGGAGACGGTGGAACAGGGGAAAGCGGAGGAGAGGAAATGAGGGCGGCGGCAAGGATGACAAATTGTTCGGATCCAGTAAAAGTGGCCCGCGCTGCGGCGGGAGCGCCTTTTCTGAACGACGGGAGCACAGCTCCGATCCGAAAGTGAGGCCCACGCTGCAGCGGGAGCACCATGTCGAGCCACCGACGGCAATCAAATTGCACAAACACATCGGGACAACAAACTTCCGAAAGCCTGCGCGTGGAAACAGGACGCGGCGAGGGACACCATGTTGAACCACCGACGACAAGCAAAGTGCACAAACACATCGGGACAGCAGACTTCCGCAAGCCTGCGCGTGAAAACGGGACGCGGAGAGGGCCGGCTATATCTCCTGCGCCAGGGTCAGGGGAGAGGGGGGAGTATATAATCTATAATTTACAATGTACGGTTGTGAAGGAGGGAGTGGCACGAGTTTCTGGCCGCCCCAACTGCGGAGTGGCGGCAGGGCCCCCCCCTCCCGGCGCAGCGCCGCGCAGCGGCGGAGGCTCGGTGGTTGGTGCCGATGTCTGCCTGCGGCACCGGTCGAGACCGCCGCGCACCCCTCCACGGGTGGCGGCCCCCCCTTTCCTCCATGAGGCTCGCTCCCATCGGTTCGGTCGCCCAGACCACAGGCCTTGCCGGAGTGCCGTGTGTCCGGGGCTCCCTGCGGTCGTAGAGCTTCACGGCCTGAGCCTGGCCTCTTCCTTTTCCCCCTCCGCGGCCGCCGCTGCTCTGCCTTCTGCACGCATCTTCGTCTGCGCAATCGGCGTTCTCCCATGTGCCCCGGCAGACGCTCGTCCGTCGCGCGATTGCTCCCGGCGGCCGCTGACCAAGAAAGTGTTCCAGATTTCTTTCCGGCGAGACAGATTAAAGTGCGCATATTGGGCCGGGGGACCATGAGGTTGAAGACTGTCAGCGGGGCTTTCGACGATCACCCAGGAGTCCCTGGCCTGGTGAGTTTTCGAGACTCTGGCTTGCAGTTCTGGGGAAGACGGTCTTTGTCCTTCCGCTCTCGCTTCTTCCCCCTCCTCGCTCTGTCCTTCCTGCTCCTCCCTCGCTCATCCCTCCTCCATCCTGCGTGTTTTGGCCCCCAGTCCCCTCGTGCTCCCCGCCTCTGCAAAGAAAGCTGCGCCGCCAGCAGCAGGGCGCAGGAACTGGAGATGGAGGTGGCGACGATGATCTCGACGATTATCATTGCTTCATGTGAGAACGCATCATTGATTTATTGCGAACGTACCCTGAGAGTTGTCGGGAAATGGAGAGAAGAGACACATACAGTACATATAGTGAAACAGAGCGTGCAAGGAGAGGAGAGGAAGAAGGGTGTTGAGCCATCTTGGAGGCTATCTTGGAGCCTCGGAGGCCTTCTTGGAGCTACGGGGACGTATTGGGGAATCTTGGGGTCCGCTTGGAGCTCTTTTGGGGCATCTTGGGGCTCTCTCGGGCCTCCTCGGGGGGTCTTGGGGTCCTCTTGGGACTCTTTTGGGGCGTCTTGGGACCCTCATTGGGCCCTCTTGGGGCCCTCTCGGCAGACCATCGATCAAAGGAGGGGGGGTCCTCGATTTCCCTCCCCTCTCAGGGCCCATCGAAATGACCTTTTGGGGCGCTCTTGGGGCCCTCTTGGGGCAGTCCGGGGCGCACTTGGGGCAGTCTTGGGGGCCTCTTGGACCCTTCTTGGAGCTCTCTTGGGCCATCTTAGGGCCATCTTGAGGCCTAAAAAGCGCATCGGAAGCGGATAGACGACACAACTCATGTGTTTTCTTTAGGTGTTTGAAGGATTTTGGCTCCTCAGGGAGGTCCTGAGGGGTCACCACAAGCACTTGGATCCGTCTTGTGGCCTTTTTGGGGCCTTTTGGAGGCATCACGTTAGCTATCTTGAGCCATGTTGGGCTATCCTGAGCGATCTTAGAGGCCATCTTAAGCTCTCTGAGGCACTGTTGAAGCGATCTTGGGCCATCTTGGACGCTCCAACCCCACGCGAACCCCCCCGTCCAGGTCCAGGGGAAGGGGTAATAGAGGGAGGGGTGACCCCCTCCCCGAAGGGGAAGAAGGGGTTGTGGAAGAGGGAAGAACGACATCGTTAGACCACCTGTCTCGCCCAGGGGGCCGGTGAGACTTGTGGCGGCGATGATTGTTGCGATGCTGTTATTGATGATGAGTATGGTGAGTATGATGATGAAGATGATGCTGATGATGATGATGATGATGATGATGATGATGATGATGATGATGAGGTTGATGATGATGATGATGGTGATGATGATGACGCCGACGACGATGACGATGACGATGAGGATGATGATTATGACGACGATGACGACGGCGACGACGATGATGGTGGTGACGATGACGATGACGATGACGATGACGATGACGATGATGATGATGATGATGATGATGATGATGATGATGATGATGACGATGATGATGATGATGATCATGATCATGATGATGGTGGTGGTGGTGATGGTGGTGATGGTGATGGTGGTGGTGGTGATGGTGATGGTGCCAGTGATGGTAGTTCGATCTTAATGACAACGAATGTGATGCCGATTATGTTGATGATAGTGTTGATGTTTATGATGATGCGGCTGCTGATGATGTTGTTGGTGGTTGTGGTGTTGATGATGATGACGACTACGACGATGATGATGATGATGATGATGATGATGATGCTGGTGAAAATGGTGAAGATGAAGATGAAGATGAATCTGAAGACGATTATGATGATGATTACGATGCGGAAGCAGAGGATTGTGGTGCTGCTGCCGATGATGATGATGACGATGTTGCTGCTGATGATGATGATGATGATGATGATGATGATGATGATGATGATGATGATGCTGATGATGATGATGATGATGATGATCATGATGATGGCAACGATGACGATGACAATGATAATGGTGACGATGATGCGCAATGCCGATGAGAGTGGTGATGGCGGTGATGATGGCGACGCTGATGTTTACCCATGTAATAGCGTAATGTTTTGGGGGTGATTGACTAGGCGCTCATTCGTGGTAGCGTCGCTTTCCAGCTGGCAGAACTATCGAGAGGGTTCTCTGACAACGTATCACCGAAGTGTGAACATCTCAAAGCTTCGCTGTGCCAGCACGCTGGACTGTTTACGCAGCCCCGCGCTTCGCCACGTCTGTGGCGCGCCGACCTTCGGCGCCTGGAGGCGACAAGGTCCAATTCACTCATCTTGGTGGTCGCGCCTCTGGGGTACCCGCACGCTTGACAGCTTCCTGGCAGCCCCAGCAGCCTGCAGCCTCCGCCCACGGCGCTGCCTCGCTTCCCTCGGCGGTTGCAGCCACTGCCCTCGGCGCAGCAGCTTCCCCCGGCGGTAGGTTCTGCTGATGCCTGTGCGCGCGTCAGGCAATTAGTTCTGCTCGTAGCCCGAGCCGACTCGAGACGCCGCTGGCGCCTTCGCCTGCGGCTGCGACAAAAAAAGTAATCCCACCAGCCCACCCAGCAACGAATATTTGGCGAGTTGCCTTGACCAGGGAAGTGCAGGAACATGCACTGGCACATAGCTGGAGGGCTGCCGCCTGATCGTCTGCACACTCTCCTGTCGTCCTGCTCGATGCAGCGTCGTCGCAGGCGGCCAGGCCCAGCCGTCAGAGGCTCGTTTTCCTTCCGGTTTGGGCAAGGGGCTGCGGCTCGCAGGCCGGAGGAGGTAGGATCAAGTCTCATGTCGTTGATGTGTTGTTAAGCTCGCGAGCCTCCGGGCATCCCGTGGGGGCGCCGCGAAGGTCCTTATGGCTGACAGCGGGGATGCGCGCAGGAAGCGGATGTCAACCAACGGCCTTCGTTTCTTGCGGCCATGTTGGAGCTCTTTTGGGTCCTCGTCGTCGTCCTCCTCCTCCTCCTCCTCCTCCTCCTCCTCCTCCTCCTCCTCCTCCTCCTCCTCCTCCTCCCCCTACTCCTCCTCCCCCTACTCCTCCCCTCTCCCTCCCCCCCTCCTTGATTTAGGCTACTAATTCGTCGACGGCGCTTGTGGCCAGGGACGTGCCTGCCCTGGGCGGCGCGGTCGGTCTCCCGCGGGGCGAGGGGTTGGGCCCCTACCGCAACTGCGGCGCCAATGACCAGGGATGTGCACTCCCCTCGGCGGCGCGTGCTCGCCTGACCTCGGCTTCTCGTGGGGCCCCGATGTAAGACGGTTGGGTCAATTGTGTTCCGTCGAATGCTGAGCAGAATTGCTGAGTACGCAGTGCGCTCCAGCCAACGTGGGGTCATGCATGTTCCGTCGAGTGCTGGACGTGTTTCTGTGCACCGCCTCGGCCTCGAGGAGGGCTTGCTGCCCTGGCCTCTTCTGGAAGGCGAGGCAGGAATATGTTCCTTGGCGCCTTCGACTTCGTTCATGGTCGGCAGTGCGTGCTCCCGCGTCGTCTGCGCCTGTGGCCTGGCATGCGCCTCCCCTGGGCGGCGCGCTCCGGCCCCCGCGGGGGGCGCCTTCGGCGCCGGCGGCGCCAGGGCAGAGCCCTTCCCTCGCCGGCGCGCGCCCGCTGGACCTCGGCCTCGCCTCCGCGGAGCTCCTGGAGGTCCGCCCTCGCCGACCTCCTCTTGAGGGTCCCGCTGCCTCTGGCCGCGCCCGCTCGCCGTGCGCCGCGACGGGCGGCTGCGCCGGGCGTCGTTCCTCGTCCCCCGCTCTCCTCGCTGGCGCAGCGCCGTCGGGGGCGTTTCCGGCCCGTGCCGTCGCAGCGTCGCGAGCGCGCACGCCGCGGGCGGAGGAGCGCGGGCCCCCCCGGGTCCACCCTCGGGACCCATGTGCGAAGAGGGGGACGGGGGGGAGGCCACCCGCGCATCCTTTGATGTGCGGGCTCCGAGGAAGGGGGGTGGGAGGAGCGGCGGGGCCACTCGAGGGACGTCGCACATGGCCCTGCCGCAGACGTACACCTCGGCGGCATCACTGCACACATGACACCTTGTCTGTAGCGCAGCGGCATGGCACGTACACGTGACGCGCTTGTCCGCAGCACTGTAGAGCCAGTACAATCGGCACGAAATGAGCTAAGGTTGTGGAGATCAGAATCAAAGGCTCCTGGTAGGCCAGTCTCACCGTGCTATTGCGCCACCGTAGACTACGTCGAACAGGCTTTCCTCGTGGAACATGTCGAGGACAAGCTGGGTGACCCCAGGCTGGTCCCCCGCGGATGTGAGGTCGTACAGCCGCTCGAGCACGCAATCGTGTTGCAGCATGCGGTAGTAGCGGAAAACTTGGGCCCGATCTTGGCACGTTCTGCCGAGCGTTTGCTTCGAGCACTTGCCGTTGATCTCCAGATTGTCTGTCCTGACTCGAATCTGGGTTCCACTTCGTATGCCCATCGCTCGGCCTGTGGGCCAGAGGGGCCCAGAACTTCCTCTTGGCCGTTGAGGGCCGGTCTAGCTTTGAGCCCCACGAGACGTACGTGGGGGCCCCCCAGTAGCCCAGCTTGTGGCTTCCGTAGCTCTGCTGGTGGCTCTCGATGTTCTTTTGGTGGCTCTCATAGCTGTGCATGTGGTCCTCGTAGCTCAGCCCGCAGTCCTCGTAGCTCTGCCGGTGGCTCTCGTTGAACTGTGCCACTGGGCCTCTGAAGCTCAGCTGATTGTCCTGCGTGCTCAGGTGCTTCGGCTTGCTCTCGTAGTGCGGCTGGCGGTTCTCGTATCTCAGGAGGTGGCCCTCGTCGCTCTTCAGATTCTCCTCGTAGGTCCGCCGTTGGCTCTGCTTGCGGCGGTCGTTGCTCAGCTCGTTCTGCAGGTAGCTCAGCAGGTTGTCCTCGTTGCTGCGCTGGTGGCCCTCGGAGGTCTGCTCGTGGCCCTTGCAGTTCAGTTCGTCGCCCTGGTAGCTCCTCGGGAGGCTCTCGTAGTTTTGCTTGTGGCCCGCGTTGCTCAAGTTGTGGCCCTCGTGGCTCCGCAGGGCCACTTCGCGAGTTCCCCCGCCCAGACCCAGGGAAACGGGTGGGAGGGGGGAAACCATTCCCCGAAGGGGAAGAGGAGGATGCGAATAGTGGGCTCCCTGAGCCAGCTACGCCAAGATGACTGATTGGAATGTCGCGCGCGCGCATGTGCAACGATACTACGCAGGAGAGGAACCGACGGCGCCAGTAGTCCAAGCCGTCTGTTTGGCCGCAGCGCCAGGGGACGGGGTGCGGTCAAGGCTACGGCGGGCCGCGCAGTAGCTGGTTGCGCATTGGTCGTCCCAGGAACTTTTTTGATCTGCAGGGCGAGAGCGAACCTCTTCCGCTGAAAGCATCGTCCCAGGAACACGCGGATGTCGAATTTGGCCAGTCATGTTGGTCTGCTGCTGTACAATGTTTTGCATTGCGCGGTATTGCCTTGTACCTCGTCGCATTGGATTGCACATGATGGCCTTCAACACAATGAACCCAGCGCGACTCCACTTAGCGGCTTCTTATCTTCTCAAGCACTTCAGTCAGTTCTGAGCAATGCGAAGCGATCCAATGCAACGCATTGTTTGGCATTGTGTGGCGTTGTTCGGTATTGCGTCACGTTGCTTGGCATTGTTTACTAGTGTGTTGGCAACCCTTGACGGCCCCGAGCAGCCCCGAGCACGCTCGCGCAACCCTGAGCAACCCCGAGCAACGCCTCTGACGAAGGCCCCCAGCTCCAGAAAGTGCTTCCACAAACGAGTCATATCCTGCCCAGGCAACACCTACGTCGGGAATCGCATCCCAAACTGGGGTCGTGCCGGGTTCATGCTATTTCCATGTTTTAGGTGGGGTAAAGTAGGGCCAGTCGTTTTGGGCACACGTCTTCCCCGCTCTTCTCTCGTCGATTCAACGACTGACGCTTCCCGATCTACACTGATCACCGTTGGACTAGGTTCGCTTGTGCGATAGATTTGCCTATGTCAGGCTACTAAACGGACGTTCCGATGGTCTAATTTGTCGATGGTCATTGCACCATCGCAGGTATTTGTGCCGCAGGACAGCGTGAGGGTTCTCGTTCGGAATCCGCAAGCACACTGTGTTCCCGATGTTCCTTCATCGGTCATCGTTTCGCTTGTCGACTAGCAGAAGCGCGTAGCCCCCCTCCTCAGAATATCATAGCGTACCGTCCTCTCCGTTTTGCCTCGCGTTCGTTTCGCCTGCCTCTCCTCTGACCTTCGGCTGTGGTTCCCCGCCCTCTCTTCCCTCCCTTTGTCCCACTTCCCCATCCCTCCTCTTCAAATCGCCGCTTGTTTCCCCTCCCCCCCGTTCTTCTCATCGTCTCCCTCCGCCTATCCTCCGCTTCTGCCTCGCTCCTCCTCCATCCTCTCCCTCCTCCCCCCTGCTGTCCAGGTGGCGCGGCTGAAGGAAAGCATCGCCAGAGAGATCTCGCTCACAGAGGCAGATGCCGCCTTTGAGGGGGGCGGTGGCGCGGGAGGCCCGATGCATGAACAGGATGCGGTGATGCCCTTTTCCTCTGGTGCGCCCGCGCAGTTCAGCCTCTCCCTCCCTCCCTCCCTCAGCTTCCCCCTTCTCTCCTTCCCTCCTCCCTCCCCATAGGTTCCCTCGTTCCTCGCTCCTCCCCCCCTCTCGTCTCTCCGCTTTTCCCTCTCCTCTCCCCTCTCCTCCCCTCCGGTCTCTCCTCTCTCCGTTCCTCGGCTTTCCCCTCTCCCATCTCTTCTCGTCTCAGTCGAAGGGGGTGTTTGCATAATCCCAACACGCACATGTGGCCTCTTGGTACACGCCAGCTGGTGAAACCGACCGCAAAGCAAACCGCAAAGCCTTAGCAAGTACGCCGTCCATGTACGTACGTCATCCCATTCCTCTATTCCATTGTATTGTTGTATGGTTGCTCTCGTTTTGATTGGAGCTGGACGTCTGGTAGCGGAGCCATAATAGAACAGGTTCCGTTGCACGGTTGGGTAGAGCATTCTAGAGTGCCCCCCCCAGCACACTCATTACGCGGACCACTTCGCATTTTTCGATTACCCCTTGCGTTGCCTGCCCGCCGGCAGGCGAGAATTGTTGACGCTTCGCGAATCCCCACCAGCCCATCCAGAAACGATGCCAAGAGGAATTGCCTCGATCAAGGAAGTGGGCAGCACACAGAGGAAGCCATTATGAGAGATCTTGGGATATCTTGAGCCATCTTGGATGTCATTTTTGGCTCTCCCAGGCGCTCTTGGGGTCATCTTAATCAGTGCCCCCCCAAGAGGTCAACATGTGGCTAAAACCTTCGTACAAACAATGGTTTGGCATTCTTGCCGAGGCCTCTTGGAACATCCTGGGTGCCTCTTGGGAGTCTCTTGGGGGCCTCCTGGGGGCCTCTTGGGGGCCTCTTGGGGACATCTTGGGGCCATCTTGGGACCTCTTGGCGCCTCCTGGGCGCTTCTTGGGGCCGTCTTGGAGGAGATCGATCACATGAGGGGGGGGTACGAATTAGGGTCACCCCCCGGAGGCCAACATGGGGCCAAAACCTTAGTAGCATCGACGATTTGGGCTTCCTCGCCGAGGCCGTTTTGGACGCTCCGACGACTCGCGAGACCCCTTGTCCAGGCTAGGTGGGGAGGGGGTAGGGGGAGGTGTAAACCCCTCCCCGAAGGGGAAGAAGGAGGGGTGGAAGATGAATCTCTCTAAACCACCCACGCCCAGAGGGCTGGTGGGATTACAGTTGTCGCGGGAGCTAGCGCCGAACACGTACCCCTACAGATGGTTCATTACCATATCTCTCGCCCACGCTGCTGGGCTATCATTTCTGGGCGCGCAACTCCGTTTCGCGGGGGTATGGCGCGGGTTCGGAGCAGGGGAGGAGGGGGATATAGGGTTGCCCCTGTTGCCCTAGGTGGCGCCCTCCTGCGTCCAGGCTTGGCTGCGGGAGTCGCCTCCTCGGCCCGCCAAGGGGAGGATGGAGAAGAGGGGGATACGGGGGCCCGAAAAATGGGGGACGGACAGGGAGGGGAGAGATGGCGAGGGGGAGCGTGGGAGGGAGCGTGCCCTTCTTTTTTCTCTCCCACTTGCATCTGGCTGCCCCTGCGGCAAGCGCCGCCGCCGTGCCAGCGCAGTGGCGCGGCAGAGTTTGCTGGAACGACTCGCTCAAGTTCAGACGGGGCGCAGAACTTCACCACCCACCAAACCACCCCAACCCAACCCGAAGGCTCAGATTTACCCTCGATTTCCAGTGGGGGGGGGGGTCGGGAAACATAGAAAAAACGCGGGTGGAACCCTTACCCCCCCCCAACCCGAAATTCGGGTCTTCGGGTTGGGTTGGGGTGGTCTGGTAGGTAGTCTGAACTGGAGCGGGTCTTGAGATCCCCTTCTTGGCCGCAGCCTGCTATTCTCTTCCCTCCATCCCTGGTCCTGAGAAACGACCACCTCCTTGTCGCACCCCCAGGACGTGCCATCAGGGCGGGCTGGGCGCTTCGCCTGAGAGTTCCTCACCATGTATGATCTTGACGCTTGAAACTCGGAACAGTTTCGAGGATGGAGGGTGGGCCGTTTACAAAATATGGGGAGCCGCCATGGGTGGGGACGCTCCCCCGTTCGCGGCCAGATTGTTGGGATGTCGCAGGGACAGGAGGAGGGGGAGGAAGGAGAGGAGACGAGCAACATTGCTCACCGCCCGTTCTCGTCCGCCTCGCCGCATGGCAGAGCCCAGAGTCCAGCGAGGCGGAGTTTTGAAGCTCAGTTTCCCACGGCGAGCACAGCAGAGGCACTCCAGTATGCTTGGCATCAGGAGGGGAAACACACACACAGACACAATTACTCGTCGATTCCCGAGAAAATATTGGAAAAAATGGGAAGTGGGGGGGAAAACATACACCCAGAACATGTGGGAAACGATGGGGAAACTTCTATTTGTGTGTACTTATTTGTGTGCCCCAGGGCCCCCTCCATGGCAGGCGGGTCCCACAGGGAGCGCTCGTCGCACGTCGTGCCGGGGAAGGCCCCCCTCCACCCCTGCGTGGCCGGTGGCCGCCGGCCGAGCCGCAGCGGCTCCCCCCGCCCCTTTTGGCCCCTGGCCCAGGCCGCGCGGCGGGAGCGGTCCAGCGCCACGCGGCGGCTGTCCGCCGCGAACGCGTCGTTGGCCTCCGCCGAGGAGGAGCTGCGGAAGGCCTCGCCGCCCCCCCCCAGCGCGCAGCCACCGCGGGAGGAGGGAGAGGAGAGAGGATGCAGAAGGTGGAGGGCGAGGAGGGTCGAGCGGTGCGTGCATGTCCGGCTCTTCTTCGGCCTCTGGGGACGTCCAGGGACACCCCGGATGGGCCTTGAAGGAGGGCCTCTCGCTTCGCCTCCCCCGCTTCTCCTTGCTCCCCTCCCCGTCCTCCTCCGCCCTCCCCCTCATCGTCCTCCGCCCACAGCCTCCCCCGCCCCTCCTGAGAAGGATGAGGGGAAGGAGGGTGAGGACGAGCAGGTGGGGGAAGAGCCAGCCGTCTCCGAGCGCTGCCAAGGCATCGGAGAAGGAACAACTGCATAAATATGAAGGTTCGGAGCTCCGCACGGGTTTCTCGGATCGGCGCGGGACCCCCCAGGCAGCGCCTCCAGCGCCACCCCTGGCGCGCTCCGCGCACCAGGGAGGGGGGTCCAGCGCCGATCCAAGCAATCCGCGCGGAGCCCCGAAAGTTTCTGCTTGTGCCGTTGTTCCTTCTCCTAAGGCACGCAGCTATATGTTCCACTGTCGCTGCGAAGGGCCGGAGGGCAAGGGATCCTAGACCCCGGGGCCGTCCCCAGGATCAGCGATTCTTCCCAAGTGTTGTTGTTGCGGTCCCGGGGGAGGGGCGGAGGGCCCCAGAGGCTCGAAGGCGGCGAAGCTCTTCGGGACCCCTCTCCTGCAGGACCGACTCCCTTCCTCCTGACACTGGCTGCCCGTTGATCCGCTGCTCCTCCAAGCACGAGGTGGAGTACACAGTTTCCGCCGGGGGCAAAACGGCGGGGGACGGGGGCGACCGAGAGGGAGGTGGCCGACGTGCGGCGCTTGGCAAGGCGACGAGCGGACGACGAGCCGCGCCCTCGGGGGGTGGCGACCTGTGGCGGTTCCTCCTCCTCCTCCTCCTCCTCCTCCTCCTCCTCCTCCTCCTCCTCCTCCTCTCCTCCTCCTCCTCCTCCTCCTCCTCCTCTCTCCTCCTCCTCCTCCTCCTCCTCCTCCTCCTCCTCCCCCTCTCCCTCCTTCCCTCCTACTCCTTCCCCCGCGCCCAGGCCAGGGAGGACGCCGAGGAGGCCGGCAGCCGGCTGCGCGAGGCGTGCGAGCTCAGCCCCGTGCTGTGCCGGCTGTCCGAGCCCCCGCAGGCGCGGTCGCCGCGCGCTCGCCCTGCTCGTCGCCGCCGCCGCTGCCGTCGTTGCTGTCGCCGTCGACTGGGCATCGAGAGGCGGCTCAAGCACTCTGCACTGGTTCGCTCGACGCTGGGATTCAAGTGTGGCGGTGCAGTCTGCAGTCGGTTTCGCTGATCGGCGTGCGTTTCGTCGGATGCCGGGAGCCCAGAATCGCCAGGGCTGGGTGCGGTCAGAGATAGTCAGAGGTAGCCGCAGGTTCGCGCCTCGGAGGCCCAAGCCGAAGCTCATCCGGACCGCATTTACGTTTATCCCAGATAACTCGGGCGTCCAACCCTCCTGAATAATCAGGGCTGGGGCAATCAGGGTTAAATACAGATTCGATCTTCGGAGGCCCAAGCCAAAGCTGCCCTGGACCGCAAGGATCCCGGGTAACACTCGAGCGTCCCAGGATCCATTCGGTTGTTTCTGGACGTCGATGAGCCATCCCTCGACTAGACGTAGAGTGACCTTTCGCCGGAGTGACCTTTGGTGCGGGCACAGACGGGCCCCCAGGTGGCTGAAAACGAAGCAGCAGTAGCGGCTTGCGCGCCCAGTTTTGGTCCCCCCGCGGCCCCCCAAAAGCCGCGCACCAAAGGTCACTCTTACCCAGGGTCACTCTTGCGTGCAGCCGAATCCCGCCGGGGTCCCCCTCGGAAGGCGGTGCCGTGCGCACGTGGAGTGCCCCTGGCAGCTTTCACGGAAGGGCAGGGCTGTCTGCTGAACAGCGGTCCACTCCCGAGTCGAGGTTCTCGAGGTTCTCGGATGTTTGACAGAATCAAGGCCTCCCAGGTGGCCGGTGGGGTCCGAGTAGACAGGGTCGGAGGATCGCGCCGCATCGCCGATGCATCGGCGATGCAGCTCGATGTGCAGCCCGATTGTTTCTACGCCGACGTCGCCGACGCATCGGCGACGTCGCCGGTACATCGCCGATGCCTTGGCGGTGAGT